AGTGAATGTAAAATATTCTACAATAAATCTTCTTTTATAAAAATATAAAAATTTATAATAAAATTGGATAATCGCGTTGTTATCAACTACATAAGTTGATTAAAAATTAATATCAGATGTACTTGATTTCTTAAAACGTCGCTAACATTCATAAAACAAGACATAGACTATTATATTTTTCTATATTACTAATTTCTCATATATTTTATATTATTGTTACTAAATATTGCCTGTATTAATTAATAATATAAAATATTGATGAGGTACGATTTAGGCGACCAGTACGCATTTGGCAACTCTCCCCTACTTGCGTTGTAAAAAACTGACCATGAAATATTGCACCTCGATTACACGTATGCAATTAACATTTTCCCATCTTTCTCGGACGTGAGTTTAATGAATGTTAAAAATACATAATTTTATAATTTTATTAGAAATAACACGAATTATATTTTTATATTATTAATATTTCTACAATATATTTAATTTTATTTCCGGTATTTGTTTTTGTTGTTTGCATTTCAATTCGTATTGAAATATAGAAAAAAAGAAATGCGAAAATATTAAAAAATAAATATTAAAACTATAAATGAAAGAATTGTTGATATAATCTTTTTAGTCATTGGTTAGGACAATCTGTTTTTACTTTTTTGACCTGATTTCGTACGGCTGTCTTCGCCTCATCATCGCTATTGAATTGTTGTGGGCGCTTGAAATTCCTTCACCCACTTCCGGTTGGCTTTTCACTTGAAGAAATTTTTAGCGACTCCTTCAGCGGTGATGAGGTGAAAATAGCTATACCAGATTGCGTCGAAACGTCGGCAGCAGACTTCTTCGACCAAACTTCTGTTGCGATACAATATCTCAATTTGAAAGCAACGGACTGAAAAGTAGATTAGAGTATAAGATTGCAACGAAAAATAAATGAAATCGGAGAAATTTCTTTCTCGCCTGTATTTTTATGTTTATCAGCTTCTTAATGTTTATTTTTTAGATATATTAATTTGAAGAAGTATCTAATTAATTAATTCTTAATTTCGCGCTTTAAGTTGCTTTAAATATGTTGTTAAAACGAAAGGAAAACATGTGGTGTATAAGAGAAAGGGAATGTATAAAACATTGCAATTTGAATTTTATGAAAAGAAAAAAGGAAGGAAAGCAAATTTTGCAAATTATATTAGCATTTTCTTTAGTTGCCATTTGCATAATAAAATTATTCCATCACTGTTGATATTGCGTTATTATACTTTTGCAGGAACATCGCGATTAGTATTTTTGTTCGCGGGTCGATTTGCATGGATAATGTCGATGTAAGCATTGCATTCAAGGTCGATTCGCGTATGCAATATCCGCCAACTTGGCAACTGTGTTATCTGTGCGTGACCTGATTTCTTTTGGGAAAAATATATTCGTAATTTTTTTTTATCTGTAATTATTGTTTATATGATAATAATATCTGAAATATAACAAAGTAATATGGAAATTATCAAGATAGTTGAAAAGTATTAAGATTTTAATATGATAGAACCGTATATATGTCAAGATTTTAAATCCATATATTATATATTCTACAGGAAGCGCAAATCGAGCAGACAAAGAAGTAAGATTAAGTTGAATTGTTTGAATGGCGGAAGTTGAGACGATTTATTTTCTTTCTGTAAGTCCAATGGTAGTTTGTCTTCGATTATTCTCGCATTGATATCTCAATCTGTTCGAACAATGAATCTGTCAGTTTGAATACGACGTATTACTTTTAGCATTCTTTTTCAACATGATTGATATTCAAACCGAGGGTTGATATTCAAACATAATTAATTAAAATGCAAGCTGTTTGTCGCTTCGATTAGCTCACATCGATCTGCATTCATGCTATATTCAATATGCATACATCACATACGTTACGTAACATCAGGGGTTTTCACGCATTAATGAATGCATATAAGTATCCATTACACATACACAAGTCATGCATCAACATTATGTATCATTATTAAATAAGGCAAAATCTATCATATGGCACAACAATGAATTTTGATTAAGAAATTTTGCTGATTTAGTTTCTTTTTATTCTTAAATGCTTACATGGAATGAACGATTTTGTTGAAATATTTAAAATTCACTTCTATAATACATACAGATCTGAAAATTATTTTATTGAACCATTAAAATAATTATATGGAAATTGCAAGCATGATGAGCAATACTGCAATAAATTTTAACATTTTAACAATAAGTTTTAGCGTCCTACCTAATTACTTTATCCAACAAAATTATTTTTAGATCTGTATATCCAGCTAAATTTTTAAATATCTCAGCAAAATAACCTTTTTTGTGTAGTTCCGCGAACATCTAATTCATGACACACCTTTCTTATTTTTCACGTCAATATTTACATATCCCGTAGAAAGCGCGAGATATCTCCTTCCCAAGAATAATTTCACCCAACAGATTATGACATTATATCACGCGATGCAACCACAATTTATTACCATAGATGAATAATTTAATTACATATAGAGGATAAAAAAATTTCTGAGAATTAAAATCGAATATTCTAAAATAAATTTTTTTATTGTTGTTTATATTTTATGTGTTTTGTATTCTATAACGGGATGATAATTTAAAAATTTATGTAGACACTTATCAACATTAAATTTTCTACAAATTGTACTTTATAATTTTTATTTATATTATTAGATTTTAGATTGTCATTAAAAACTAATTCTGTAAAAATAATAAATATTTTTACAATAAGATTCTTATTGTTTAATAAATATTTTTTTAATTATAATTTACTCGCTGAAAACTTGAATCAGCAACAAGATATTTTATTAATATACACATGATTAACTGAAAACTGTACGTTGAGAAAAAGGAACTCTTAGACGTGATAGTCAATAGTGTCAAACGCGGTTATGTAAATTTTCTTTGCAGCACGCTGCTCAACCCCAGATATTATCCATACGTATTATCCACATCGGACGAGGAGATTTTCGGCGATTCGATGTTCTGGAAATTGAAAGAAGGATATTTTTTCCATTCGGAAAAAATTAACTCGATCCATCCCGGAGCCGTTGTGGCGACAGTAGTGCTCGATCTACCGACGTTCGATCAGGAACCTGTCATCAAGTGCTGGGGTATAATCTCATACGAGATCGATGAGACACAATTCCAAATCCCTCTGCCGACCATTGAGCTCTCTATCGACGAAACGATCAATAGTTCATGTATAAGATTTTTAAATGAAAGCGAACGTAGTGCGATATTAGCCTTGAAAAGCACATCTACCATAGAGAAGATCTTTAATATTCAGACAGACGATCGAGACAATCAAGATGATCGAAATGGGTTCGGCAATAAATTCTTTCGTTTCTTAACCGCGAGAACCTTTACAAAAGTTTGGGACAATATTTTCTTGGTGAAAGAACACGGCTGTCTGATGTATTGTTTGGTTGAGATACAATCGATCGATGTCAACAAAGCGAATATCAGGATCTTTGCCAGGTAATGGATCGCTGACGAGCGGATCTGCGCTCTCTTTGGCCGATTTGCGAAAAAACGTGTCGCGATAATGGAAGATAAATTTATATTATCAACGATATGATTGCAGATCTGTCAATCAGCTGAACGTAATATTTCATCTTCTACAAAATGAATTTCCGGATGTATCTGTTGCGGAGGAGACGGATGATTGCGTTGAGGCTGCGAAAGCTTTGATACACGAGTTAGAGATGATTCGCGATAAAAAAAGCATCCTCGAGATACAAGAAGCGAAAGTGATAACAGACTTGCTTATTCCTTAAGTTCTATTTAGCATTGTATATAAAAGATATTCTTAGATAATGTACAATGTAATATAATTATGTTGATATAAGAATATCATGTAAAAAATATACCATAATATGCCAAATCTTGTTGACAGCAATTATTGCAGCAATATATTATGCAAAAAATTCACTAATTGATAAAAAAGCAATATAAAGTTTCTGTTACTTTGTCTAATTTTTTTCATGTAGCATTTTTATAATATTGATATGATATAATTATTGAATTAAAATTGATATCAAGGCAATTGTTATTGTATATCTTACTTTCTCATGAAATTTATATAAATCCATAATTTTTAAATTTTTTATTATGAAATTATGAAATTTTTATTATGAAATATATATTACCACACACGCACGCACGCACGCACGCACGCACGCACGCACGCACGCACGCACACATACACACACACACATTGCATGTATGCACCTTAAATGATAATAATAATAGCTTTATTAAAGTAAAAGAATTTACAGGTACACACGAAGAGAAAAACATTCATACTGGAAATGAGAGGCGTTAAAAACGCTATAAATTTTTGAAATAATTTATTTTGTTAAACTATATAAAGCACATATTCGTAACATATATACTGTAGTGAGAGTGGATAGTGAGTGATCGGAGTGACAGAGTGAGTGAGCGAGTCAGTGAGTGAGTCAATATGGGTCAGTAGATTTCGCTGAGCACTTTTCGATAAAAAATATCATCGCTACGACCAGTGTGCATTTAACGTCATTAACAATTACATACGATATAATTTTCTCTTCGATACATATGTATACAGTCGTTTCATTACAGGTACCTATCACTTTGTTGTATGTATATGTCCGCTATGTCTCGGCCGCGTCCTATGTATATCTCGACTGATTTACGCGTCGCAATAGTATGTATAATACTCCTACGTATTTAAGGTACCTACATTATAAAATCGATAAACGCCTTCGCTGTTGATTAAGATTGAATGTAAAGGGGCACAGCAGCGGTAAGACGTGAGAATTCTGTTCGGAAAATACCGGCTATCGCGCTTCGCACTTCTTAGGTTGAGCCTGTAATGAAATATTGTGGAGTGTGTGCCCATCGGTAGGAATTTAAATCTTCTTTCTTTTTTTTAAATTATTTTCGAGATGTATCGATACGATATTTTAGCGGAGCGGTTGACGCCAATTCCATCGATCTGACGCGACGTTGATATACAGGGTGTCCCGAAAAATTGGCAAATCAAAATACCATATCAAGAGAATTCTCGAAAAAAAGTTATTCGCCATAAAATTCTCGATAAAAACTTATTTGCCATTTTTCATTCCAAGCAGCAATTTTTGAACAATAGTTTTCATTCCGAGTTTTTGAGATGTAAACAACCACGGTTTTATTATCTTGCGCCTTATGTACTTTTGTACATTACGCGATTCATGTATTATACATTAACTAGTTTGAGGATTAGCGCTATAAGGCGAATGTCATGGCGCATACTTTTGTATCATTTTTGTCAATAAAACAAAAACTCTTTGAATATGGTATTTTGATTCGCAAATTTCGGGACACCTTGTATATTTGCGTTAATTAATCGAGATTGCTTTAAAGCCTATCGGTCGTTTATTTTTTGTTTGTACATATACGATCGTTCAATTCTTTCTTTAAGCGACTGTAATAAAGTTTTTTTTTTATTATATTACCTCTTTTGTTTTTAATCCATCGTCAACAGGATCGGATCGTTCGCACGTGGAGAAAAATCTCGCCCGAGACGAGAGGTTGGTATTATTACTTTACATCATCAATCAACGATCATTCGTCACGACACTTGTTAACAGCGAGTTAATTAATCTTGTTTGTGTGTCTGGAATTGAAAGCTTTCTCCCTTGCAAATTCCGCCGGCGTCTGCGTTTATTGCAATGCACGACATCACTCGTCTTTTATATTCTTCATCACATACATTCTCTTTCTCTCTCTCTCTCTTTCTCTCTTGCTTTCGCTATCTTTCTCTCTTTCATGTATTGTCCGCTTGGCTTATTTACATACTACATTGGGCTTCAACTGTACACGCGGATATGTACCCATTTATGTATATTCAATGTATTCAATTCCCATTCGTTCTCGTTTCTCGTGAGCGTAATTTACAATAAACTAGTTTTGACATTTTCATTCTTGTCATCGTCGCCGTTGTCGTCATCGCCGTCGTCATCGTCACTGTAGTTGTCCTCGTTTGAATATCGCATAATTCACTAATACACACGCAGTATTCGACACTCTCGTTTCCGAAGCTTTAAATCATACGCATAGCAATCTCGGTTTTATAAAGATCGCGAACATTTAACCAATCGCTGAGTCCTATCTGGAGCGACTTCGGCTCGTTCTTGATAGGACTATAATGCTTGAGCTTCGTAATCTAAAGACCATGGATTCGATTATTAAGACATAATTTTTACCTAACTTGATTTATTATTTGCTATCACATAAGGAACTGATTTAGTTTGAAGTAGATTTTAGAGTAGAAATATTCGAGATGAAAATTAAATAAATTCATAAAAAACATTTCAACATAATACATTTTACGTAGAACTATCTCAAAGATAGGAAAGATCTTAAAAGGCTAATAATTTCTGTATGATTCTATTCTTTTATATGATATTACATTTTATTATTTTTAACTCGATTTTGATAAAATTTCTCGGGTTTTTAAACATGTGAATGCATGGTCCTCAGCAAACGATGCTGTTAAAATTCGAATGAAAGAAGACAAATTCGAATGCATTAATGAAACATTTCTCAATGCGCAGAAAAGCGATCCGTAATTTAACATACTATTAGTTTGCCAAGAAAATTCTGCTATTTCGAGAACAATGCAATTAAATTCAGATTTAAACAATTTTGTAAAAGAATTCTTGATATAACATAACGTAAATCTAATGTCTTCAATGGAAGACGATATCTGCCTCTTTTTTTTCATTTTAGCAAAAATCTTAAATTTGATGTGCAATGTGTGCTTTGAAATGTAACAGCAGTAGTATTGTAATTATATGTACAATTTTAATGGTATGTATAACTAAGCTTAAAATGGAAAAGATCCTGGAACCGACATTATCATATTTTTCATGATATTCCGCAATGCAATCAATATCGACGTCTTTGTGGTGATAATCGCTGTTATGACAAAGATCGTATTATATGCGTATATCAGTATATCATTGATTGCGAGCTTTGTGACGTAATTATCTCCTTTTCTGTGACGAATTTGATAATAAATACGAAGAAATAAAATGTGCGCGAAGATATTCTGAATTAATTGTTTCATATGAAATGCTGCATACTTGTCACCAAATTTTTAATGAAAATACTTAGATGCGTCTTCTTTATACCTTAAAAACACTTTTATAATTCAAAGTCGAGACACATGATTATACATATAATTTGTATTTTAATGAATAAGAAAACAGATGTGTGAAAATATAATATAATTTAAAAAATTAAAATATTTGTAATTTGTTTTATTGGGCATGTTAAATTCAAGTATATATATCTAGATTTTAGAGTATTTATTAATATTCTAATTTCAAATGTATTTTTTTAGTTGCTTAAGTATTGAATAAAATTAGAAAAAATAGTTGAAGACAATTTCACATTAATCTTTCAGTGTATTAGTCATGTATTATTTATCTCGCGCACTTTTGTTGTACTACAGAAAATAAAGATTCTTCTATATTTTCACTACTCCTTGTAGAAAAACTACGCACAAAATTGTAATACAGTATAATACAGCCACATTTACATGAGTCATAGGATGGAGGAGAAATCAGTTTTTTGAACAGGCAATACTATAATTGCACCAAAGTATTTATTCTTAGAATAAATAGCAGCGAAGGCACTAAATTATATTAATATCTGTTCATTAATGATTATTACGAAAGTAAAGTTAACATTTTATCAACATATAAGTGCCGTCTAGAAATAAGAACAATCCCAGAAACTCTATTGTTTAAATTTTTACAAATATATGAGCGTCATATTTTGCGGTACGCAAGGAAAGTGTTATGTAGATCTTTTTAATTACATTTCATCTGATGCATTTCTTTCGCATTTACTTCCTATTAAGCAGTAACATAAACTCTTTGCAAAATGTCGCAATGCCGATTTGGCGGACTAACGCTGCAATAACGAATATATTTTACGCTGATTGAAATCCTAATTATGACACTCGCCGCAATAACTCATCGCAATCGAGAAAAATTAGAGTAAATGTATTTGCAGACGTTTATGTTAAGTCGCGTCGTAATGCGTGTGGAAATCTATTGACGAAATATACAAACGTTTGCCTTATTTTCGCCGACTTCAGCATAGAGACGTCGTTACTTTTTCCCCACTACGTGATTAACCTTAATACTTGTTTCTCTTTGAAATTATTCTCTCCGCTACTTATACGATTTATCGCGATTGACTTCACTGGTAGAACGCGTGTCGCTTTGTAATATTTTATTTGCAATTCATTCTATATATATGTACACGTCTGTCCGCGCGTCCGTATACATCGGTAACACGTTCGTTTTATGCGGTATTTGATAGCGGCAATCGGAAAATAATCTCCAGTGAGAAATACTTCGACACAACTCTAGCAGTCAGAGATAAGAAATACAGTCATCGCAGTCGTGTGTGTTTTACATAGTTACTATTTATAGTAGTTTCATAAAGCTTCGTTAAGCATATAGGGACGTATTGCAGTGTACACGTGCGCGCGGACATATTTAACATAGATTACATTATCAGTGATTAAATAATAGCATAGAAAATAATTGTTTTCCTCGCCACGAAGCTAGAGTCTTTCAACTATTTTGCCATTGACCTTTGATACTTGATATTGTTTTTTTACTCTCATTTTCTTATACATAGTTTAGTTCTTCAACTAGTTAGTCGCTAGTGTGATACTGTATGAAATCTCGGAGTATGCATGTACGTGTGTATATGTGTTTGGTTGTGTATGCTGCACGTATTTATACATTCGCGCTCGTCATGCTTCGTCGCTAT